AAGCAGGATAAGAAGAGTATTGACACTTTTGAACTTCAGCCTTGGAAAAGACTCCTGAGAACACCATGGACAGCCAAGAAAACAAACAAATGGATCATTGAACAAATCAGTTGAGAGGTCTCACTCAAGGCACAAATGACCAGGCTCAAATTATCCTACTTCGTACACTTTATGCAAAGACCTGGCTGTCCGCAGAAGGCTCTGATGCTGGGAAAGGTGGAAGGAAAGAGAAGAAGAGGACAACCAGCAGCAAGGTGGTTGGACTTGGCTACAGTGGCGATGGATGCATCGTTGGAAGACCTGAAGAACCAGGTGAGGGACAGAGTGGACACTGACTTGATGGCACATAATTAATCCATATGACATTGCATTACACAGATCAAAATATTTTCGTTGCAAGTACCTTGATGTGCCAGACTGGGACTACAGCTTCACAGGTGATATTCTTTGGCATAGACTGGCACCCTCTATACAATCTTAGGTTAATGACAGTAATTATTCTGGAGTCCTAGTGAAAACTCTGAACTGCCATTTAAATGTTCTTACAGTGCCTTCAATGCAACAATATCTTGGGGCTTTGTGAAAACCTAAAAAAAATATTAACTTTTTCTCACTCAGAGCCAGGACTTGCATTTGCTTGGTCGGCCGTGTCCTGACAGTTGCTTGAAAATACTGGGTCAAGATGACCTGTTCTAACTTATTAATAGGATGCCTTACTGGTTACACTGGCCTGTTGGCATCTTTTGCCACAGTTGGTAGCAAGAGGCATGGAAACTGAAATTTCTCTTCCAAAAGAGAAGAGGCAAAAATCCCAGGTTCACGATGTAGATTTCATGCAAAAAGGGGAGATATTTCCCCAACCCTTCTGGAAAATTGTAAACCTGGGGAGGAAAAGAATTGGAGAAAAAGTTGTTAATATTTTCTTTTAAATGTTACATAACCAAAAAACCTCATCCTGTTTATATATTACCATCCAGACTGTAAAATCTAAAAAACAGGATTTTTTTTTTAAATTTAAGACTATTGTAGTATCATATCATTGCTGTCCTCCCCTGGGCCTCAAGACCCTGGAGGTGGGAAGATCTTGGCAGTAACCCCCATTTATTTATATTTCTATAGCTGTATTAATAATATAATACAAGAAAATATATAATACAAGAAAGAAAAGAGAAGAGAAAGGAGTAAAAATGCAAGGAAAAAGGGGGGGGGGAAGTAAGAGAAAAGTAAGAATATGATAAAGAAATACGTAAAGAAGTGACTTCTAACCTTCATCACAACAAGTATAAACAAATTTAGTTATTGTTCACCCCCTCTAAGGTTACAAACATTTATCTCTTCATCCCATATTCCAACTCTTATCTATAAACAAATCCATAAAACATCTTTTCAGTCCTGGTATCAGCAGAAAGTCCGTAAAGGATTGCTAGAAGTAACAACATAGCTTGTTTTAACTTTGATCAAATAAACCAATTTTATATTCCTTCCTTTTACTTCTAACAGTCTTAATCTTTAGTTCATTCAAATATTGTCATAGGATTTATTTCTCTTCATTTCTTCTTTGTCCCATCACAGAGTTCTTCAAGGCTTTAACAAGCCTCTTTTGTAAATCCAATAGGAAAAAATGATCCAGGTCACTCTCTTGGTTTGTCATTTGTATTTCTGTTTTAAATTTTAAAACCACAGCCAGTTTCTTTGGTAGATTCAGTGAAACATCCTTTTCTAAGTCATTCTCTTGGCCTATCAGTTGTAAATCCACTTTCAATACCATCTCTATCTTGTCAGGTAAAATTTGTTCTACATCTGTCATGTCTTCAATAACATCTTTTGGACATAGTCTACCCATAGAAGCAGACATCATTAGTGACATTGTGGCTACGATTTTCTGATTCCATTCTTCAAAAGTCTCCTTTAGTATTTTTATTGTTTATTGTAAAAGTCTCCTTTAGTATTTTTATTGTTATAATATTTTGTATCCTTTTATAGGTTTGTATATCTTTCCTCTATCTAAAATCTTTAGTCCCCACTACAGTCCAGTTTTTGAAATCATAAAATTGCTTATCTTTGTTATGTCTTGTAAAAACTAAAACAGGATATATTTCCCATGAGAAGCTGTTTGTTCATCATCAATTCCAAAATCTTATTGTAAAAGTTTCAGTAATCCAATTTTATCTTGACCCTTAGTCCA